GCGGCGGTTCCAGCTCGCTCAGTACCAGTGCCTGCTGGTGAAGTACGCCAAGGACACGCGCTACGGCATCTCTGGCGTCTCCACACATGACAAGTGAGTCCCTGGGGCAGGAGGACCCACCCCTGCGGGCCCAGCAGCTGGGCTGCCTGGCTCACCGTCTCGCCCTAACCCACAGGAACACCATGGAGGCCCTGCCAGCCTGCCTCCTCAAGGACGTGTACCAGGAGGCGCTGGGCTCTGCGGTCATCGGCATTGATGAGGGCCAGTTCGTAAGTGCATGGCCAGGGCAGATCCTGGGGAGCTCTGCAGGATGCAATCTTCAGAGCGACCTGTGCAGAAGAAGGTCTGAATCCTCTGTAGGAGGGGGTGGGAAGAAATACCTTGGGGCAGGTTGATCCTGCTGGACTATGCCCGTACAGTCAAACCCTTCCCTTCCCTTAGTCCCTGCAGGCTGAGGACAGTGGGCCTGGAGTCCATTTCACGGACAGGCAACATGGCCCTAACTTTCTTTGTGCCCTGTGCTGCTGTCTGGGCATATGCTGCTGGATCCTGAGCGAAGTGCTGCCCCTTCTTCCTCCTGACGCTGTTTCTGTACCTCCTCTAGTTCCCAGACATCGTGGAGTTCTGCGAGATGATGGCCAATGCTGGGAAAACCGTCATTGTTGCTGCTCTTGATGGGACTTTCCAGAGAAAGGTAAAACACTCTCCTTTTTTTAGGACAGCAGCTGTTTTGGGATCCTTGTAGAACCCATCCAACAGAACCGCCCCTGCTGTCTTGGCACAGGCCTTCGGGAGCATCCTGAACCTGGTGCCGCTGGCAGAGAGTGTGGTGAAGCTGAACGCTGTGTGCATGGAGTGCTACCGAGAAGCCTCCTACACAAAGAGGCTGGGAGCAGAGAGGGAGGTGAGTTCCCTTGGAACAGAAAGCACTTCAGTAGCTTCACCTTGCCAGTCCTGCTAGTCTAGAGGGATCTCCTCGGGGGAACGGCTCTGCAGAGTCACTCTCCCAATTTTCTTGCCAGGTTGAAGTGATTGGAGGAGCAGACAAGTACCACTCTGTCTGCCGAGCCTGTTACTTCCGCAAGCGACATCAGCAGCCTGGGTCGGAAAACAAGGAGAACGTGCCCATGGGGGTGAAGCAGCTGGACGTGGCTGCCTCCCGGAAGATCTTTGCTTCTTGACTGCTGGGCTCCCCCATGGGGAAAAACAAGAGGAAGGAAGCTAAATGCTGTGGCTCCCAGATGCTAGATCTGGCTTCCCCCGCTTTTAGCAAAACTGTTAAATGTCTTAGCTCTACCTGCCAAACCAAGCCGCTGTCCCTCTGCACCGAGCACCAGGAAAGAGGAGGATCAACTGGACCTGATGCCGGGGGGGAGCTGAAGCGGGAGCCTGACTAAAAGTGAGTTCCTTTCTCAGAACACAGAAAAGAGACAGGTGTAGTTACTGATGCTGCCACACAAACAGGTCCTGGAAAACTGTCACAGCAAGCCAGGCCGCAGGGCTTCCATCGCTCGCCATAGTTCTGGCCTGCTCTCCTGGTCTTCTGTGTACGTTCAGACTGGCACTGGTGGCTGGTTCGCTTGCCTGTGACCACAACTGCTTCTTTCTCTTGTGCACTGTTGCTAAATTCCAGGTTTCTTAAGACAATGTGCAGTAACTTAGTATTTTAAACCCACTTCCTTTTTTAACGCAGTTTGAGGAGATAACCCGTTCCTTGTCGTAGAGCTGTGGCACAACTTTTCAACTGACACACGTATCAGCAGCCTGGCCCTCAGCAGTCCTTTTGAATGATCGTGCACGGCTTGTCTGTTTGCCGTTACGCCCACTTGCTGTAACTGTCTTGTAAATTTTTATTGAAACAAAGGGGGGGGGGGACGACGGCCTGACAGTAGGCTCTTCCTAGCTTTTGAACTTTAAAAGGGCTAGCAGCAGTCTAGTAGTAGTCTGTGTATTAAAACAGTCCTTCTGGAAGAACTAGACGTTCACTTTGGGAAGAGCCTCCTCTCCAAAATCAGGGTGTTTTTGCTCAGGTCCAAGCTTGGTGCTGCCACTTCGGTGCTTAGTTACCTGTGAAGGGTTTGGAGGCTCAGGACTTAATCTGTAAAGGTTTGGGCTACTGTTTCTGCGAAGATCCAGCTACTTGGAAAAGGGTCTCTGAGTGTATGGTTCTCAACTCTAGTCATGTATCTTGCTCCCTCCTGAGCCTTCCAAAAATTCTCGAGGCTGATTCTTCCTCTGCTGTAAGTTGACTGAAGGATCCTCTTCCCCCTTTGTTTGACTTGGCTTCTGGAAGGTTTTTTGGGTGGGTTGTTTGTTTTTTTTTTTTTTTTCTTTTTGCAAAAGTCCATTTCCCTGTAAGCCAGCTCTTGGTTCCGGCCAGGTTAAATCTCCATGTGCAAATGCAATGCTCTCTGTTTGCCTACACCCTCCAGTGAGGATGAGGCACCTCCCTAGAAGGTTACAAGAGCCATCTGAAACCCCCTGCTCCCTCTGCGTTACTTGAAGCGATGACAGTTGTAGTACTCACAAGCACTTGATTGCCAGGCCTGGGCTTTCCCCTTAGGGACGGGGAAAGCAGCACTGCTACTGGTTTAGGTTAATAAATAACTTAATGAAATTGCCTCTGTGTGTTTTTTACCAGACTGCTCTGAAAAGGCTTCCCTGCAGTGAACAAGTGTGCAAACAGTGCGGGCCGATTGCTCACAGCAGCAGCCCGGGCTTGGTGGCTGGTCGCAGGGGGTGGTGGTGGAGCTGTCTGCTCAAACCTTCTACCAAACAGCCTGCAAGGAGCAGGAGGAGGGCTTGCCTAAAAATAGCACTAGCATGAGTGTGCTGTTTGCAGCACAGCAGTTGGCTGGGGCTGCTCTGCTGCTTCCCTGCCTGGAACCCCCTGCCCCAGCCCTCGGGGAAAGAGGAGGAACCCTGTTTTGCTTCACTAGAGAAGAAAGGCACGTGGTGGCTAGGTGAAAAAGTTTATTCCCTCTCTACAGTGACAAACAAAGAACTACTTGAATACCAGCCCCAGCAGCGACAGCTCACATACCACACGCTGCTGCCGGGAACAGCTTCACAACAGGTGCAGCAGAAAACACAACCTGAGACAGCCAGCCTGCACAGGCGCTGGAGCGGCACCCTCGGGTCAGCCGGGAGCGTGGGCTGTGAGCAGGGCGCTTGCCGAGGGAGCAGCGGGCAGGATGTGGGATGGCAGCCTCGCTTTCTGCAGAGGCAGTGCTTAGTGGGAGGCAAGCGAGGGGTGCCAAGTCAGCAGAGAGAGCACTCCAGGACCTTAGACGTCTGGAGCAGCCACGGCCCCACTGAGAAAGCTCAGCACTCACTGCCTCCCATGGATCCCAAACCACGTCATCCGAGCACCGGCAGCTCTAGTGCAGGCTGTGAGAAGGCACAGCACGGGAGTTTATAGTCAAAAGAAGACAGGGCTTTGGCATCAAGCTCACCCAGCAGCAGCCAAGGCGGGGAAGGCACGGGAAGCCGGTGGCAGGCAGGAGCTGGACCGCACCACCCGGCTGTGCTATGGCAGTGAGAGCCGGCACGGCTGCAGCCGTCGGGGCTGGAAAGGCACTGGTGCCAGGGCAGCAGTCACAAGGGCACAGCCAGGCCAGAGCCAGGGGAGGGGGGTGTGGGGTGTGTGCAACCCACACGCCTACCCTGCTGCTTCCTCCCGCGGCTGCTTCCTCAAGGGCACAACAGCGAGGGCAGGCACTCAGCCTCGCCGGGGCCGGCCCCACGCGCCCACCCTCCCTGGAGCCGCGGGGCTGCACTCAGCAGTTGCAAATCACCCACTACACACCGGGCTCTGGATCCCAGTGGCGGGGGGGCTCCACCACTGGGACCGGGCCCCTCCTGCGCCCCAGCACCCAGGCTCAGTGGCCTTCACACAAAGCAGCTGCCACCCTCCTGCCCCACCTTCCCACTTCAAGTCGCAGGTCCCTCCCCTCCCACCCCACAGAAGAGAATTGCACTGGTACAGCCATCCCTGCCAGGCCACCCGGCAGGGGCTCAGTACACCGGCGGGGGCTGGTAACCCTCCGGGGCTTCTGCCGTGTGGGTGAAGGGCGGCTGCTGGTAGCTGTCATGGCTGATGTTGGGGTAGCTGGAGTAGGGAGTTGGAACCTCCGGGGTGGGGTCGACGTAGCTGTGAGCAAAGTCCTCCACCCCCATTTTGTATCTCTGGTAAGCAAAGGCGATCAGGAGGCCCTAGAGAGATGAGGGGGCCGGTGGCATCAGGGCTGCCCTGGGCTGCGCGGCCTGGGGAGCCCCTCCACGCTCCCTCCCGAGCGGGGCAGGGCCGGGCTCCACCGCGACTTCACTCACCCAGGAGAAGATGGAGAAGAAGCTGAAGGTGATGGCGGCACGGGCCGAGTCAGCCCCGATGCGCATGTCGTCGGCCTGCGTCCAGGCCCACTGGTTGGTCAAGAAACAAAAACCAACAAACCACAGGAACGTCCAGAGACCTGCGGGAGGAAGGCGGCGTGAGGGGCTGGGGCTGCGTCCTGCTGCCCCCAGGCAGGTCCCCAGACCAGACCCTGCTCCCATCAGGCTGCTGCCGCCATCGGGGGGGCCAGAGGCCAGCGCAGGCGCCCATCCTGGTGCAGCCGCCCGCGTGCTGCTCCCTGCAGCTCCTTGGAGCGCTTTCAGCAGGCAGCGCGTGGCCCACGGGCAGTGTGCCAGGCGGGAACAACTCCCTTCACCAGGCACCGGCAGCCACGTCATGGTTCAAGGGCAGCCATTGTAAAAGGAGTAGAAGCCCGTGTGGCTGCGGTACCTGAGAAGCAGAGGTCCGCCAGGACCAGGTACTTGCGGTCGGTGGTGTTGCTGATCTGGGGGAAGTAGATGTCCACCATGAAGAAGAAGATGCAGGCGAGGAAGGCGAGAACGCCGATGCCAATGCCGTAGCGGCAGGCGTCCTCGTTGTGGTTGAAGATGCAGAAGAGCTGTTGGGAGGTGTGCGAGTTGGTGTAGCCCTCCCCGACCAGGCAGGCAAAGACGATCAGGGCGAAGACCTGCAGAGGCGGGACCGGG